GTGAGAGACCTATGCTTGAATCTAGAGAGTGTTATGGATGTGGGGAGACTGGACATATTAGGAGGAATTGTCCCAAGCAGAGTTATAGACCCCGAATAGCTAGAGGTAGAGGTGGTCATGGTAGAGGTCGTTATTCTGGAGGACGTGGTGGTCTAGGTAATGGTGGTCAGCAAAACGGCCGGGGTGATGGGCAAACTGGAGCCACTACATCACAACATGGTAGGGGCAACGGACAAACAAACGAAAGGGCCCATTGTTATTCTTTCCCTGGGAGATCGGAGGCGGAGACATCTGATGTTGTCATCACAGGTAATCTTCTGGTTTGTGATTGCATGGCTTCTGTATTGTTTGATCATGGATCCACATTTTCTTATGTATCTTCCTCATTTTCTAATGGTCTAAATTTACATTGTGAATTACTTGATACGCCTATTCGTGTTTCTACTTCGGTGGGTTAGTCTGTGGTAGTTGAAAAGGTATATAGGTCTTGTTTGGTGAACTTTGTGGGGAGCAACACTTATGTAGATTTGGTTATCTTAGAAATGGTTGATTTTGATGTAATTCTGGGTATGACTTGGCTTTCTCCGCAATTTGCGATCTTGGATTGTAATGCTAAAACGGTGACGTTAGCCAAGCCTGGGACAGATCCGTTAGTGTGGGTGGGTGACTACACTTCCAATCCGGTGCGTATCATCTCCTTTCTTTGTGCTAAGAAAATTGTTAGTAAAGGGTGTTTAGCTTTCTTGGCACATCTCAAGGATGACACTACCCAAGTACCTTCGATTGAGTCGGTTTCGGTGGTCCGTGAGTTTCTGGATATGTTCCCCGCAGATCTTCCTGGTATGCCACCAGATAGGGACATTGACTTCTGTATTGATCTTGAACTGGGTACTCGCCCCATTTCGATACCCCCTTATAGAATGGCTCCCGCAGAGTTAAGAGAGTTAAAAGACCAACTTCAAGAGTTGTTGAGCAAAGGCTTCATTAGACCAACTGCATCTCCTTGGGGTGCTCCGGTTTTGTTTGTAAAGAAGAAGGATTGGAGTTTTCGGATGTGCATAGGCTACCGGCAGTTGAACA